CTGTAATTGAAAAAAATATATATAAATAATACTTCTGCTTTGTGCATAAACACTATAATATTTTTGCTACCCTATAAAAGGAAGGAAAAGAATGAAGCAAGTTAGTTACCACGTTTTTTAAAAAAAGGTTAAAAAAATTAAGAAGAAATACAGCTCATCATGCTTTTTTAATGCTCTGCATGTTTCAAATGTAAAATACAAAGAATTAAAGATAAAATAACAGAAAAATCATATTTATCATTCTCCCACAGAAAATACCACTTTTAGCATAGTACATTTCAGATCAAGAGATTAAGCAAATGCAGCTATTATACTTGTATGGAAAGATTATCTTAGATTGTATCAAAGCAAGTGTTGTCATCTGATTCCTCTCTTTCCAGGATAACATAGCAAACCAACTTCTTTGGCAAATTTTGTCCAAAATTCTTTACCTTCCTTTAAAATATCTATAGTAACAATAATTAAAAAAAAATAAACAAAAGAAACCAAATCAAACAAAAAACCCACAACCAAAACAACACTTGGCTAAGCCATAAACAGATAAAATAGTTGATCTTGAACAGCACGTGATCTTGATTGTTCTACCTGCCACCCATCAGTGTACAGAAATGCATTATCTTCTACAGCCTATTATTATTCAACCTATGGAAGTTAAATTCAACAGGAGAGAGTATCTAAGTGCTGAGATTTTGAAAGAATAAAACATGGCATTTGTACATCTAAAAAATTTATCAAAACATCTTCAAACTAAGGGTATTTACCTATAAATCCTACCTTTCCTCCTGTTAAAACAAGTTTCAAACTGACACAGTATCATGTGTCAATCAATGTATTACCTACTGAGTTATGAGTGAAGTCCTTATGATGTTATCACTGAAGAATGACACCCAAGATAAAAATTCAATATTAAATGATATACGTAATTTTTATTTCTTCAGAATTTCATTGACATCAAAATAGAACATGTTCTATGGAATAAATAAAAAATTATCAGGTGCAGACTTTTTCTAAAGGTAATGTGAAAGTACGGTAATGAAAATATACGTAGTCCACCCATGTATTAAATAATCCTATAAAACTAAACATCTCCATGTGTATATATTTATATAAGTATTTTATATACATATATATATATACACACTGAAATGTTTTTTATATATATTTATAGGCACACTCTGTTTTAAGTCAGGATACCTCCTAGTCACTTTAAAATGTAGTTCAAAATATTTGGTAATTTGAAGGTACCCTTTTTTTTAGTTTTCTTATCACAAAAGAAAGAAACAACTCTTAGATTTGATTTTGTATTTTGTTTCTAGATATAAAATGTATTAACTAATTGCTAAATAGAATAATTGTCCAGATTTTTGATAAATATATCGATTTAAGGTGATTTCTTTGTTTGGGGTGTATTTGTTTTTGTTTTCTTTTGGTTTTGCTTTTGTTTGTTTTTTTGTTTGTTTTAATCAACACTCTAAAAATGCAGCAGTGCACAGCTTTCATTATTACAGTTTTTTGCTGCATACTACTGAAAACATTTACTTGGCTCCACTGACTTAAGACATATTAACAGCTTCTGTGGGAGATTTTGAAAACTGTGATTTGCCAGGTCCTCTTCTATTTCATAACCCATGCACATACTACTGATCAGGTCAGGCGTAAGTGTTTATGCAAATTTAAAAGAAGAACCTAAGAACACAAGAAGGTACAAAAATACACTCTCATAACTATTCACATGAGTACAGAAATAATGTGAATATTTAATGTCAGGGCAGCATTGTTGCACCTGTAAAATCATAGTTACATATGCAACACATGAAAATCCAGGTTACTGTAAAATGGCTAGGATTATTCTAAAGGATTGGTATAGTAAAATAAAGCAATGATTTAATTCAGCTACAAAATTACGAAGGAAATGTTCTCTATGTAACTAGAAAGATTTTCTCAATAAGAAACTAGTACTTTTGTTGACACCAACAGAAGTTCATTAGTTTCACCACTAACTGCCCTAGTTATTTGACAAATTATCTGACTAATCTGGGAAAAGATTCCTGTCCAGATACGTTTCTGTGCTTAGCATTGCAAACTACATACAAACTATGATGTATTTTGGAAAAAAAACCAACTTGGATTTGCTGGACTAATATATGTTTGTCTGCATCTGGGATAAATAAAAATACTCTTTTCTAAATATCTCTTTTAGAAACAGACAATTGTTTCTTTCATTGACAACTCTCTTAAATTGTATTAGTTTAGAAATATACCAATAATATCCTTTCAAATACAAACCCTATCAAGGTGAATATTTCACCTATTAACATATAGGACATCTTTTTAAAATATATATGTATTAAAAAATTAAAGAATATGTACTATCTATTTTATACTAGTTTATATATTGGAATATCAACTCTTTATGGTAAATACTGGTTGTGTTGTATAATAATACAGTATCTAACATGTTAGACCATAATGCTCTATCTACCAGTACAAATGAAATAATGTAAATATAAATTTTTTTTCTGTTGAAGCCTAAAATTCATATGGCCACTGAGTTAAAAGGTAAAAAATGATACAATAAAATTCAGAAATTGAAAAACAAATATTATCTATTTGGTTTTGTTACCTTCACCACCACAATTTTATTTAAAGTACTTAACTCCCTGACCATCAGGGAAATCAGACAGTGCACTTATTTTTCTTTTACAGATAACAAGTTCAGAAGTTGATTTGGATGCAGAAGTGAGAAATTTAACTGCTACCCAGAATAAGTGCTCTGAGCTATCCAACCAAGGTTTCTTTGACTATGCAGGAAGATTAGGTTTCCAGGTTTGTGTGTATGCTCCTGGCTATTTTGAAATTTGTGCTGCAAAAAATGAGAGTGAGTATCTAAAGCAATTATGAACATAAGCTTAAAATACATATGCAATTTATTTTTTCAAATGCTATAGAAAATAAAAAATGGAAAGAACTCAAGCTTTATTTCATGTCAAATAGATTTTATAAAAATTAAGGACTGCAATTATGACATTTGCTTACTCACAAAGCAAATCAATTTCTTCCACAGACATCACTATCATCCTATTTGCATTAGCATAAGCAAGTTCAAAATCAGGCTCAGCAAGTATAATACTTTTTTCCTGAAAAGGAATCAAATTATAACAATTATAAAAGAAACTAAGTAATTTCACTGCGTATACTTTCACTGAAACATGATTATATCTTTAAAGTCTTAACAAAGGTGAAACAGTCCAAGTAACTAGGGACGTAAGAAGGGCTCAAACTGGAGAGCAGTTTGTTGGCCTTAGTTCCCAACAAAATCAGAGATTCGACGAAACTCTGCACTTCAGAGAAAGATGCTTGGTACTTGAGTGATCTCAGCCAGTGTCCAGAGACACAATTCAGACCACTTTAACTTAGCATTGGTGGCTCATATTTAGTCCTGCATGCTGAAAAATCCGAGATCCCTAAACTCTGTATCAGCTAATTTCCTAATCCTTTTCCATTTATTGACAACCCACTTGTATAAGCCCATGCTGCATTCATCTGTCACATCAGAATTGCCTAAAAGCCCTCCGATTTACCAGACTGAAAGTCTCAGCTCAGTTCTGTGAGCTGAATAGCATCTACTGTAGAATGCCAGATGTTTGGTGATTATGCTATGCCACTTTTCATCCCCTCCCTTATGCTGCACAGGGATAATCTTCACTGAGCAGTTAGGAATGCATGTGAACACAAGCAAAATATTTCCATAGGAAGCAGAACTATGACCAGATCTGCACTACTACCTGTACTAATACCTCATGTCCTGTCTTTCCAACCCTCATTCCCACTCCTCTCATGTAAATACCTCCAACTCCCCATGGCAAAGTTCCCAACCCTTTCACTTTTCTACTGCATTATTTCCTTGCCCTCCTTCTCTCTGATGACATATGATCTGGTTATATTATCAGTTCTCACAGTCTTTGGAGTTGGGGGATGGCAATCACAAACTAGCACCTTATGTGACACGCAGCTAATGCAAAGTATTTATGCTGGCAAATAGTAGTGGGAGGATGAAATACATGTTGACTAGCTAGATAGCAAGAATTAGTACTAGATGTGGCTGTTCTGCCAGTTAGTTAACTGTTTGTTCAGTTCAGAAAATATGGCTTTAACTTTCGAGTTCCACATGGTGGTATGACACATGCCTGCACCAACTTAAACCAGAAGAGAAAAAGTCTCACTGATTATACAAGATAGTATCAAAATTTGGAAAAAACAAACCCATCAGTTTGACAGTAGAAACATTTAATTGCGTCATCCTATATTTATTTCACCTCACAGAATTGTTTCTAAGAGACCGCACAGAGATTAATGAACCAAGGACCTTTTTAATCTGTTATTCAGGTTCCCTTTTTTCTCTTTTATTTTCACCAGTGTAATTACAACTCATTCTGTGAATCTTCTGTAACAGTTGTTCTTTTTTCCTTCTATTAAATCTTTACTTATCTAATGTCATTTTATCTTCTCTTAACAGAGAAATATTTTACAGAAAAGATTCCATCTAATCTAACAGATTCATCCTAATCTGACACAATCCTACAATTTAGTCTCCCAAAAGCAAATAACTGCATTCCCTTAAAACTATATTTAAATTGCTATATTTCACTTCATCTTTTTTTTTCCTGTCTTCATTGTTTATCAATTGCTTTAAACTCTTTAAAACTCCATCTGGGCTCTGAATTCTATACCTATGAAAATTTCATGCTATTTTAACTGCTCATATGACTACACACTTGGAGTTGGTGAGCGGGTGTTCTGAATGCATCAATTCCTGCAGAGAGAAGCCAATGAACAGTAAGAATCACCTGCTACTTCTCTGTGTGGCTAGTTAAACACACTGCTACACTAGGCTTGTGGGTAGTCCCATGCCATCCATCCTAAATTGAAGTGGCCATATGATGAAAATCTGGGAGAAAAATCAGGAACAACTATGTGATAGGAGTTTACCAGAATCAAGC